TTTGTATCAGAAAGCACAAATAAACGTTCCTTGCGATTTAGCTATATTGTTTGAACACTGGAAAGCAAATAGGATGACAAATTTAGAAGATATAAAAGTAAGCTACGCTCTTTAAAATAATCTGTCAGAACTGGAAATCAGAGTTTGCGCCGCCTATTTCCAACACTGAGTTTAAGCACTGCATAAACTGAACGGCTCGTCCAGGTGACAGTTATATTAAACGCAGAAACAAGCAACACTTATACCGGTCTCTACAGCCTCGTCGAACCCTGCTCCATCAACCCCCGGACTCAAAAATGCCCAAATGCTACAAAAGACAAGAGCATCATTAGGAGGGTTTTATTCTGCACATTACCCATAGACAATAACCAATTGCCAGGAGATGCCATGCTCAGGCCCCACAAACGATTAAAAACTCAACTGTAAAGGTATATATCAGTGGTTTTAACATGACTCGCGCCTTACCACTGGTTGTGTGGCGGTCGAACTAATGCTCCCAAATGTTTTAGTAGAGTAGTTGCCGTGAGTCCATCAGTGACACGGTGATCAAGTTGCCTCATCTGAATAAGTTGGTTTAAAATGACCCTACCACCATTGAACAGAAAGGCCGACTGACTAGTGGGTCACCCAAAAATGAATATCTAACCGGACTGGTGATGAGGATTGCTACGCCACCAGCCTCGCAGTAGATGGCGAGATTGTAATAGTGATTAGCATATAACATTAAAAGAAAATATGTCAGTTGGACCGGAAGGCAGACGTTCGAATGAGCCTTTGGTGATCCTATAAATTAAAAAGTTTTTATTAAAAATATGCATTACATGTCCTTTCATGCACGTGTTTTGGTAGTGGACTACGTTCCCTCGAATTTTATTACTCGAAAAAATATTTCCTTACGTTCTAACAAATTTTTACTTTTTCGAACACTTTTGAGCCCGATCTGCCGTTACGGTCACATTCAAGATTTTCAAACTACAAATTGTAGGCCTTCCGCGTAAGGAAGATCGTGCTACATTAAGGCATCATCTGGAGCTAATACAATTCCACAATGGATATGGACCACGTTGCATGCTTAATAAAGCATTTAAATTACAAATACGCTGCCGTTCGAATGGATATTTCACGGTCCTCCAATGTAATAATTTCAAACTCTTAAAACCAAAACTGCCTGTTTTTGAGTATAAAAACTGAAGAAGATCTGATTTGCTACTAATCGAGTATAGGAGAAGATATTTTCACGCATGTTTACTGTGAACTATATTCAAATTTGTGAGTAGCTTAAAAGTTAATCAAAAAAGGTACATTATTTAGGCTGTCAGTATTTACGAGTTTAGTTTTTGTAGATGATCGAAAAGGAGCTCATTTATAGGCCGACATCCTGGCATAATTGAAATATCTCGGGATTATGCTACGCGATAATCAGTATTACAGCCACACCGAAGTATTTACTTACGTTGTAAATACACTTCGGACTTTCCGTTAACATTTAACGAGATAGTTTACGTGTTGTGTTATAGAAAAATAAAAACTATCCGTTTGACAATAAGCATCACCTTCGTTAAATTTTAAACTCAAACAGAGAGCATTCTTTGGTTTACAAATTTTACACTAATAAAATGTTGTACGGCCATAAAACGTCCACCAAACGGCGTCTTATCTGTACCTTTATTAGCGTTGGCTATGAAATACTCAGGTTCATTTTAAAATTTTATGAATCCTATAGGATATTTTCCTAACAACAAAGATAAATGTATGATTTTCTTTGCGTGGAAAGTCTGTAACATACAGCCTGGAAACCTCCGGCACTAGTTCAACATCAGGTCACTTTCGGAATTGGTCGGGGACTACAAAACACAACTCATGCCTAAGCACATCATAATTCCCTAAAAACAATGTGACATTTGTTTTCAATAAAGATGTGTTGAAAAGCACAGTGCATCCAGCAGTTGCATAAATTACGTAAATATTGTCCTAAGAGGGAAATGCCACCGTTGACTTTTAGAGTCGTACTATTATATAAAATAACTCCTAGACCGATTGGCTGGAAGCTTAGTTCTTAGTCACCGCATAAGCAAACCGACCGTCGTCTGACCACTCCTTAGAAGTGCGCTTAAAAAAGGCCAATTGTGTACTTTGGATCTGCAAACACCGGCGTTCGTGAAGGTTGGTTCTGCCTTGCGGAAGGCATGCAAAAATTTTCATTTGTAACTCTTTAAGGATGACCTATACCCTCCTTAAATTTGTTTTTTAAATAATTGCTCAAAATTATTTCTTATTTGATACTTTAAAGCACACTGTGATTTATTGGTTGTTATTGAGATTTGTAAACTGCATTCATGATTCCGCTTGTGGAATGTCTTACAGAATATGAAAAAAGCTGCATGCTGCGAGAGCATAATTAACGGCGTGAGAGTAGTGGTCTGAATGAGTTTTCAGATAATCATCAGGCGGATATCAAATCTACCAATTTTTTAAAAACCAAAATTTTTGCGATTCATGGGTGAAAACTTGATATTTCCGTGTTTTCTAATAAAAAGACGTAGTAAATGCGTTCTTTAGGCAGTTAACTTACATAGTAGGGGCGTATTCATGAGAATATCAAAAAACGACGACATAACACACTTCTAAAGGAGTACTGTTTATTTGTGGGAAGTTTACACTTGAGGTTAAGAAGTGCCAAACGAAAAATTGGCATTTAACCGTGCAAATTTGTTTCCATAACTATGCCTCAGGGCCAATCATATTTGCTGTTTCTAGCAATAAGTGAACAAAAATGCCTAAATTTACGTTTCATAACCTTTAACGCATACTGCACATTTCAATAAAATGTTAAGACATTGCGCGCTCTAATTATCTGCACATGCTTTATGGCTCTCCTAAAATTATAATTTGTTCTTTTGGACTCTTATGAGAGCAAAATGTTACTTCAAGCCCATTTTTAGCTCATACCCAAATTAACCCACACGAACACAGTGTACATGCTGTCTGAAACAGGCGGCGTTAATTTGTTGAACCTAAACAGGGACAGAATACGGGCATAGGGGGACGCAGGGTGACCGCCTTGTGCTACACCAACAACTGCACCCGATTTAGTCCTCAATCGGTTAGACCCAGTTTTGAACTGGAAGACAGTTTGGAGGGGAGGCTGGTCCTGCACTATCCACTCTCCCTCTCTCTCTCTCCAAACACAACTAATGCACGTGCAGTGAACCAATCAGGACGCACTAAAAGTCGTGGCTTGGCTGTCTGCTGGTTGATTGGATCGGTCTTAAGGTGGCAGCATGTAAACCCTTACCAAGGTAGGGCTCGAGGCAGTGAAGCAGGACGTGTGCTCAGTAAAGGGTCAGCGAGTTTTAGAGAACTCTCATTCTCAATCCGTTTGGCTGTGGGACTTTCGTGGAAGGAACCTGGGTATGAGGAAAGAGAGAGCAAGGTAGGGCTTCTGGCCTGTCTCAAGAAGCGTTAACTAAAACCTTTGTTTTCGATTAGAGAAGGCAGCATACAGGGGTCGGGTTGTGTACGGCTACTTATCGTACAGCATAATTATACGATAATTAAATCAAGCCAGAACGCCGGCTTTTGAATGAGCGTCTCTCCGGCCGCCTTTAAGTCACACTTCGGTAAACAATAATCAGTTAGCACGCATTGTTTTCAGTGATTTTCTACGTCCTTATAAGTTAAAATACATTTTTTGGCGAATATGCACAAATATATTCTTTTCTAGACACATCTAGAAGTTACTTGTGTCGTTTTAAATTTCCGACCCGAAGAAGGGGTAGCTTTCAAATAAAAACTTGTAATTATGAGATTTTTTTATAACCGGAACTGTCCTTCCATACAGCAACTCATCTGTTTGTTTATAAATGCTGCTTATAAAGTATGCAAGAAAGTTCATATTCATTGTACAATTTCACGAGCCTTATGAAAATTCTTCTTAACAGCATTGATGATTGTGTGATTTTCTTTAGGTAGAGCGTGCACAGCTTGTAGTTTGCAGACCTCCAGGGCAAATGCAACTTCACGTCGGGTTCAAAATTATTCGGGAATCGAAACAACTTTATAACGCTCAATGAAACTTTTTCTTCAGGTGTCAACAAGGAAGAAGGCGTAATTTGCAATCCATTGCATCTGAGAAAGAATATTTCGCATAAAATATGTTAGGATTTATAAGGGCATTAAAAGCTAAATGGAACAACTCAACCATTTAAGCAGCTGTTTTATACCGACTGTGGTTTTTGCAGACAGCCGGAGAGAACCTCATTAATAAGCCGGCCGCCTGGCGTGACTGCAACACCTCACCCAAGTAGTTCTTTTCAGCCGAAAACACGTTTCTGAATTTCGATTAAATTTCATGAGGTAGACCAGGTGCTATACACGCCGCGCTGGTTTCCTCACCGTATCCAGAGGCAATGTAGGCCCTCGTAGGGTCCGACAGACGAAGTGTCTTGTGTTAGACTATCATGTCTTTTATTACATTATGCAACTCTGAGTGTGGAGCAGCCTTTTTCTGCGCCCAGTCATAAGAAGGCAATCATTACCTAGATTATCGGCTCCCTTTGCACATTTTCGACGTATTTTGTTTGAAGATCGCCCTTATTCCACAAAATTGCACAGTAAACGCCAAACTTATATTTGCTTATAGCACATAAAAATTTGATTTTTGTTTGGTTAAGCGCCCTACATATAACTAAATGCATTTTTAGTAATGATACTTACTTTTCGAATAGAATGTTCCTGGAATTTTAGGGAGGTAAACATCTGCTTGGAGAAGGACAACAAAAAGCCGAAACTTAAAGATCTAACTTGATCTTACTAACAAAGATCTCTTTAATTGTAGAACTGCAAAAAAGAATTCTGCTAGAAGAGGACCTCCATCCAAACAGGCACTTCAGAGGAATGAACTGTGCGCTAGATTAAATCAGGGGTAAAGGCATCTGATGCCAGACTCGAGGTCGGATTGAGAAAAAAGAATTCCCCTTCTCTGAATGATCGCTCAAGTCATGAACAAAACTACCTCTGAAGGCATAATATCTGCCGCGACCTTTAAGGAGGGCGCACGCGATACGCCGGATTCCAAACTCTCAATGAGTGCAGAGTCAGATGCGGAAAGTAGTGACTCCGGCGAGCAGACGCTTCAGACCTCTGACTTCTCCGAGCCAGAGCCCTGTGATTCCACATTCCACTCCAACAGTCTTCCCCTCCAGCGACGACGACGGCGTCGAAGTCGTCGTCTGAATGATGACTTCAGCGATGAGAGCGACCAGTGGAGCCTCAGTGATAGTCTTCCAAGCAGCCAACAACAACAAGCCCATCAACAAGTGGAACCGTTGGTGCCGGCAGCTCCTATTGCCTGTGTGGAGTGCAGTGTCATCCTCCTAGAAGACGTCGACGTCAAATCAATATCCCTTCAAACTGCCCTGGAGACGTGGTTTCGTGAACTGCGCTGCTACACTGAACTAGATAACCCAAATATTCTCATTAGCAAGACCTTGGCCTCTTGTAGGTAAAGTGTTCAACCTTAAAAATGTTTTTTTTTTTTCACGTACTTTCCCACCTCCTCCCCCAATCCAAAGCTGCCTTTTGCTACCGCATTTGAGAATCAAAAGAGAGTTTGCAAACATTAGACTTATTCTTTTTATCTAGCCCCTATGATTGGGTTTCGAATACAGTTTTCTCCTAAGACATGAGGTGAGGGGTGCACAAGTGAAATATCTTTCAAAGCCAAAAAATCTCAGTCAAGACCAACGGAATATTTTTCTTTTACAAGCTATATCACTCCTGATAGAAGCGAACAGGCGAGTTCCAAGTAGACGTTCAGACGATGAAGATGCGATCACTGGAACAAGAAATTTATTTGCCTGACGTTTCGGATTCTCACTCGAATCCTACGAGAGAAATACGACGAAACGGAGAATCGCCTCGGACACACCCAAATCATCCAGCTCCTGAAGTTCTGTCTCAAGATGTACTTTACGTTCGACGGAACAATCTACGAGTAGGTGAAGGGAACGCCAATGGGTTTGCCGATCTCGGGACTCATAGCCAAGGCGGTCCTACAACGGCTGGAGTCGCTGGTTTTCCGACACCACAGACCGAAATTCTAGGCTCGTTATGTGGATGACACCTTCGTCGTCATCGAACGGGATCAGGTGCTGACTTTCAAAGAACATCTCAACGCCGACTTCCCGGACATTTAATTTACGATGGAGGAGGAGGAAAACAATCAACTGGCCTTCCTGGATGTCCTTGTCTGCTGCAAAGATTGTGGTGGCTTAAAAGCCAAAGTGTTCAGGAAAGCGACCAATACGACGCAAATACTGATCTTCACTAGCAACCACCCGATCATTCACAAACGCAGTTGCGTAAGGGCGCTATACCGGCGCTTTGAGATGTACTGCGGTGAAATGGAAGACAAGGTTGCTGAATGACAATATCTTTCTACGGGTAATGAGAGTCAATGGTTACCCGCGCAACTTTGTCAACCAGTGCATACGAAAAGGACACCAGAGACCAAATCCAACCGGCCCCAAATTTTGGCGGGCTCTTCCGTACGTGAAGAACGTCTCGGAAGCCGTCAGTCGCCTTCTCACTCCACTTGGAGTTGAGGCTGCAAACAGGTTGGAAGCAACCATTAGGCGCCAAGTCATGAGGCCAAAAGACCCACTGCCACGGCAGGAAACGTCTGGAATCGTTTACCGGATCTGCTGCAGTTGTGGACAAAGCAATAATGTCAGAGGAACTTGGAAATTACTCCGCACGCGAATTGCCGTGCACGCAGCAGCAGTGAGGCGGGGAGACGCTAATTCTCAGGTGGCGGCACACTCGACGGGACCCTGCCATATTTTCAAATTTAAAGAGGCCGAAATCCTCGCAAGGGGTGACAACCGCGTGAGCCGCGAGTTGCTCGAGCCATGATTCTCAGGCCCCCAATCCATCAACAAGCCCAATGACCTCCCGGTACCATATTTCGTGCTGCGATTTTCCATG